AGCGTGCTACTCAATCTCGATGAAATTATCAAATTTTACGCATTTTTTCCGAAACAGGACAAAAGTATCATGGAAAATGCAGGTCAATACATTATTTACAAACAGAAAATGCACATAAAAACAAGAAATAAACGCAAAAAATCTAAGACCACGATAGGAGTACTACATGTCGGCCACAAGTTTCGAGTGTGCAATCGGGTGTAACGAAAGCGAACGGTTTATATACCCGTCCGACAGTGCCTATTTATGAGAAGTGTTCAGCTGTAACATTAGAAGCTGTGTTTTCAATGGCCGAAATGTTAGCGCTTTCTACTCTTATTCGAGCGACCTGGGTTCGATCTTTCGTATGTCCAAATTTTTTTTAAAGAACATTTTCTTCAAGATTTTTCATTATCATTCTTCAAAATCAGACGGAAGACCTCTCGCAAGAGCGAGCACGTGCAACACGTGAAATGACCGATTAAATTGATAAAAGAAAGAAAGAAAGACAGAAAAGAAAGTGTTGCGCCGTTCCTGCATTTGGCTGCAAAATTCAAGTAAAGCAGAAAGTAGGTAAAAATAGCTACTTTGGGTAGCTTTAAATACCTACGTAGCTATTACTACCTACGTAGGTAGAAATAGTCTTTGGACTGGACCTGTTCAGAGCCACTTGGCCAATTTAAACCAATATTGCAACAAGTTTATCAGGGATTCCTAATTAAAACCTCTAAGTAATCCATTTGATTAAATCTGACATATAATACCTCGAAACGTTCTCTTCCTAGTATTTCTCTGGTATTTTTTGTTTCAAGTTGTTGTATCATTTTTAATTAACAAAAAAAGATCAATACTATTTTAAAAGCCTTATAAATTAAATAAAAATTAACATGAGGCCTAGAAAAAAAATATGTTTGTTTCCGCTTTCCCGACCGACCCTAATTTATAGTGCCGACCCTAAAAAATTTTTTAATGCTTTTGTCCCATCATGAAGTGCAAGATTTCCCCCAGGGAATTATAGTCTCCAACTTTGCAAGCTTTTCAAGACATTAAGAAGTTTGAGTCACCTTTCTATTTTAAGTTTAAGTCATAGAAATGCTTGAAAACACCATTTCTTTTGTCATTAATGTTACTTCTACACACGTTTTGATTAAAGAAGTTAAAAAAAAAAATTTGCCTACCTACCTACCCTATATTTTTTCAGCCTGAAAGTGGAAACAAACATATTTTTTTTCTAGGCCTGAATAAAACAGTAGTAAAACAAAATGGCTAGATAAATCCCTGCAAATTAGTTATACAGCAGAGTTATGGAAAACTTTTTCAGATAGCCGGGACAATCGGTAGTACTAGATTTACTGCTTTCCCCACCTGTGATTGAATTCCTTCTGTGGAAATTTTTCATTTTTTAAATCAGCTCCTCTTTTTTTTTCTTTGATACGTTTTCTACCTAATTCAGTCCCAGGTGTAAATGTAATAGGTCACAAGAACAATGCTAGTTTAGCTTTCATTTACAGCCTCGATCTCGATGTAAGAAAATGTATTACGCAACTTATGTGGAAGCATCCTAAGGTAGTGTAAATTATAAATTTTTCAAATCATGACCACAATGAGGAATCAAAGTTTTACATAGAAATATATGGGAAAATTCTATGAAAATCTTCTTCTCAAGAACCACTGGGCAAGAAAAGCTGAAACTTATGTGTAAGCATCCTAAATGTCAAAATCAAAGCATCCTGGGGAAGTGACTGTGTAGATTCTAAATTGTTCAAATCATGACCCCCAGGGTTAGGGTGGGGCCACAATGGTGAATCCAATTGTTACATAGAAATATATAGGAAAAATCTTTGAAAATCTTCTTCTCAAAAACCACTTGGCAAGAAAAGCTGAAACTTATGTGCAAGCATCCTAGGATAGTGTAGATTCTAAATTGTACAAATCAGGACCCCCGGGGGTAGGGCAGGGTCACAATGGGGAATCAAAGTTTTACATAGAAATATATAGGATTGGAAAAATCTTCGAAAATCTTCTTCTCAAGAACCACTGGGCCAGAAAAGCTGAAATTTATGTGCACATTGAAGCATCCTGGGATATTGTAGATTTCAAAATGTCTAAATCATGATCAGTGGGGTAGGGTCAGGTTGCAATATGTATTAAAAGGGGGAAATCTAGTAAAGAACAGAATGGTCAAAGCTCAGGTGGCCCATGGACCCTTTGTTTTTAGCTCACCTGAGACGAAAGCTCAAGTAAGCTATTCTGATCAAAATTTGTAAGTCGTCTGTCTTTGTCGTCATTGTCAAGTTTTCACATTTTCAACTTCTTCTCAAGAACCGCTGGGCTAATTTCAACCAAACTTGCTACAAAGTATCCTTGGGTTAAGGGGATTCAAATTTCTTCAAATAAAGGGTCACACCCTTTTCCAAGAGGAGATTTTTATGAATTAGAGAAAAATTAATGGCATTTTTAAAAAATCTTCTCAAGAACCACTGGGCCAGGAAAGATGACACTCTCGTGGAATCATCCTCAGGTAGTGTAGATTCAAGTTTGTTCAAATCATGACCCCTGGGAGTAGGGTGGGGCCAAAATTAACCAATGTTATCCATATTTCCAATCTAATTAAAATTAGATGTTAGATCCACTCACATACTCGCTACACTAACATCTAACAACATCCCATAGAGGGTCACGTCAGAGGTCAAGTTCAGAACACCTCTAGACTTTTTCGCTTCCACAATATACGATGATTTTGCAGGCGACGATTTGATTGGTTGATCGAGTTTGAACTCTGACGTGACCCTCTATGGGATGTTGTTAGATGTTAGTGTAGCGAGTATGCGAGCGGATCTAACATCTAATTTTAATTAGATTGCCATATTTCAATACAAAATTTTTTCCACACACATCAAAACTAGGTCATATAGATGCAGGTTGTCATGTTTTGCCCAAAACTTAACTTAATCAAACTGAATACAATATAAATATGATACCATTAAAATTCTTCAGAGATTTAAAGTATAGCAGTGCTAGACAAATAGTACCTGCAGAACTGTAGCTCTCTGAAAAAATACAAAATATATATTTTATAGTACAGAGAGCTACAGTGCCAACCATTGAAAAAACTGTATATTTATTGCACACAAAAAAGTGCACTGTTTCTGGATTAATTATTTCAAATTTGTACCTTAATTAGGATGAGCAAGAGTGCCTTTTCCAAAATTGTGAAAATTATAGTCCCAGGGTCAGGGGTTCAGGTGTTAGGGCGGGGCCCTATTGATCATTTATTGAAAATGAATTAATTCTTTGAGAATCTTCTTCTCTGCTTCTGGGTATTACATAAACTAAGTCGATAGTAATGATGACCAAGAGTGCCTCGGCCGTGCTGCTAAAAACTGATTTTGATGAAATTGTATTTTATGAAACTTGGTTAACAATAAAAAAAATTATTGAATCTTCTTATTTAAAAAATCTTTTCAGTCGGTGCGATTTAATTGGGTCGGTAAACTCAGGTGACCTATTGCTAACTGTTTTCCTCCGTCGTTGAACGTCGTCCGTTGTGCATTAACATTTGAACATTTTCAGCTTCTTCTCTGCAACCACTGAACCAATTTCAACCAAATTTGACACAAAGTATCTATGGGTAAAGGGGAACAAAAATTGTGAATTTTACGATCCCTGCCCCCCTGGGGCCTGAGGGGTGGCACCAAAACCACTAAAATTAATGCAATCTTTAAAAATCTTCTACTTTACTCCTGGACATCAAGCAGTAAAACTGTTTGCATGATTGTAATCAGCAATGACTCCTCTAGACTACTAAAACTGTGAAATTCATGGCCCTGGGGTAAGGGGTTCTAGTGCTAGGGCAGGGCTAAATAGCTTAAGTAGGTAGTGAAAATGCATTATTTCTTTGAAAATCTTGTTCTCTGCTCCTGGGTATCAAATAAACCAACTGAGTACATAGTTATGATGAGCAAGAGTGCTTCTACCAAAATTGTGAATTTTTTATATGGCCCCAGGGTCGGGGGTTCTGGTGTTAGGGTGGGGCTCTATTGATTATATAGTGAAAATACATAAATTCTTTGAAAATCTTCTTCTCTGCTCCTGGGTATTAAATAGCTCCTGGGTATTAAATAAACTAACTAAGTACATAGTTATGATGAGCAAGAGTGCCTCTACCAAAATTGTGAATTTTATAGCCCAGGGTCAGGGGTTCTTGTTTTAGGGTGGAGCTCTGAGAACTATATAGTGAAATGCATGAATTCTTTGAACATCTTATCCTTTGCTCCTGGTTAATTTACTAATGATCTAATTACATATTTAAGGCCAGGATTTATTTTATTTTCAGTTTAACAAACCCTCTGCTCAAGGTTTCGAATTTAAAAAAAAAAAATTCTTCTCCATGTCAAATTTGATTCGGGAGCGAGATTTCAAATTGACAAACTTGCACTTCCGGTTTTAAGATGAAACGGTGGGTGAATAATTAAAGCTAGATCTTACTGAAAAGATAGCATGGTTTAGTGTAAAATTCGATACGAGTGCCATTCAAAACGTTTCACCTGTTCAAAGGACAAATTAAATACTGACGACTTTGCTGCACAATGACATGCTGGTGAGATAATTATGTATTTGTTTCAATAGTATCTGTATGTAAATTATTTTCCTCCCCCAGGTTTTAAACTGCCCGTGGTAGCTATTGCATATTGCCAGCGACATTGTTACAGTTTAGGTCTCTGTTATAGCTTACAGTCTAAGCATCATTCTTCAGAAAAGGGTTGCTTATGCATCAGATGTAATGAATAAAACTATGGGAGAAGTTAAGTCCATTTTAGGAAGAAATAAACAATAACCTGAAAAAATAAGAAAAATTCAACTATTAAAAGGTGGCAAGAATATACAAATATATACAGGCATGTAGTATCATTTGTATCAGCTAGAAAAATTATTTTACACTTAATTGAAAAAATGTTCACCCTACTTCCCAATACTCCCTGTCTGTTCTATGATAGGAATTATAATTTTAGGCATCAAGTAAAGTTTAGAACAATGTCTACACATTCACCTAACACATATTTAACAAATGAAGATATATTGAAAGACTTTTAAAGAATTGATTTTTTAAAATATATTTTGAACAACATCACAAAATTTATATAACTGGCCCAAACTGGCAGATGATGAAATAAGCAATTTAATGTTCTACTTTCCTATTTGTAACCATTATGTGTCCAGGTGGTAAGGAGCCTATTAGAATAGCATAAAAAAAGAATGTACAAATGTTAATAATTGATTATCAAAAAAAAAAAAAAAATTATTTCCTTCTCCTTCTGGACTTTTTTTTTCTCATGTTCATAACTAAACCTAAACATAAAAATAAATGCTGGCCTTATAATGAAGAAAGGGGTCTCTTTCAAAATAGATATTTTCAGGGCTGCTGGGTTGGGGGTACCAAGGGGTTACTTTGACTAAAAATAGATTAATGCTTTGAAATCTTCCCTTTGATAAGCAATGGTGCCTCCTTCAAAATTTGTGAATTTCATGGCTTTTGGATTAAAACACGAACCAAATACAATCACTGGAAAGTTGTAACATGATACTCATGTGACCTATAAGGCCCGTGGGCCTCTAATTGTTTATTTTGGTCCTAAGTGTATGATTATGATTTTCATAACCAAGCTTCAATGGTGCCCCCTTCAAAATTTTGAATTTTATGGCGTTTTGTTTAAAACACAAATCTAATTCAATTGTTGGAAAGCTGTTACAGGATACTTACGTGACATATAAGGCCCATGGAATAGGCCTTTCAACTGCCGCTAAGGATCGGTGTTATGAACGATAACTCACTGCTGAAACTTGTTTACAGCAGGCTCGGGGTATCTAACTGTTTACACACAAGGCAGTTTTTAGCATTTCCTAAGTGTTTCTTTTCTCTCAGAAGAATCCAGTGGTTTTAAAATTTAGCACCAATGTTAAATTTATTAACTGTATAGTTGCAGACACCGGTTTACTGCATATAATTAAAATTTTTAATTGAAATAAAAAGTGAAATCTACCCTCCTTCTCAGTTCAACCTATTTAAATTTTTATACTCGGTCATTCCCCTTCATGCTTAGTAACACAAATAAGATGATCAATTGTTGCATTTACTTGTAAAAATGTATAGATTTACACAGCTAGGAAGAAAAAAGCAGGAACACAAAAAACATGACATTAAATTTTCTTCTTCATAATAATTGTCAAAGAGTCATTGAATATAGTCTGATCCCCATTCATTTCAGGTAGAGTGAAGGCATTTTCTTTCTCTAAGTCAAAACTTTTTGTGTACAAAACAATGTAAGGAACCCTTTTGTGTATATAACAATTCCAATGCTGAAGCAGCCTATATGTCATTCTTATAAATGATAACTCATAAATCAGCACTAAGTTGGTCATGTTTCACACCTGAATTACCTGTCCTTAAACATAAAATCGGAAAAGTCACTTATAAATTATTATACTTTTTAATGAGGTAATTAAAAGTTATTATCTTTTTTGATAATTTTATGTACATATAAATCTATCTATACAATGTTTTTTACCATATGTGCAACTTGAAAAATAAGTTTAAAGGCCTACATGGAACTCTTGTACTACAATATGTTTCTATTACAGGATAAAAATGGAGCAATTCAGAAAATTTTTATTCTTGAAAACACAGACGTCAGAACTAAATCGACGGGGGAAATATACGGAGTGACAGGAGTACTAGCGAAGTCGACAAACTATAGTCAAATTCATGATGTTTTCCTACCAGAAAAACTAATTCAGAAATTTAAGGAATCTGTTCAGAAATCCATCATCGTCAGAAAATATAGTCAAAAAGAAGATGGTTTCATCTCCCTCACAGATTCCTCTACAGTACGATAATTATTCAAACAAAATATAATAAAATATTTATACTATTTATTATACCTGTTGAAGAGTTTAAACTTCAAACTGCTCATTTCCTATTCCATTCCACAGGGTTCAAATTAGCTTTTTTTTAGCACTAGTCCGCTCGGACTAGTGACTTCTAGCTTCCACTAGTCCGCAAATTATTCCACTAGTCCGCCCTATAGTATGTAAAAAGAATAATACAAATCTTAAAATTTTATCAATTAATTCAATGAAATATGTGTCCACACATCAGTTGAAAGCATGTGGTGAAAGAAAGAGGGTTTTCAACTTTACATGGTCACGTCTTTTTCTATTGATCACAATGTAGAAAACGCTTTATCGCGGTTGCGTTTCTCATTTATTTTCAAACATCTAACAGACTCGGAAATAAAATTAATAAAATATGAACCAATTCAAGACTTATTTCTGGATTTGCACTAGTCCGTACGGACTAGTGCCTTACAAAATCTGCTAGTCCGACACAATTTTTACTAGTCTTGGACTTACAGACATGAGTTAATTTTGAACCCTGTGCTATAAATACAAACCAGTTAAGTTTCAGTCTCGACAGAGACCTCTGGTTATAAACATGTTCCAATTATCAATATCTTTCATTTTTTTGTCATTTCCTCATAACAACAGATAATGGACACAACAGATGACATAAGTCAGGAGGACATTACTAAGTTTCTAAACCCTGACATTGTCGATATTGCGACAATCAAGACTAAGAAGAGGAATGAGAGGGTATCCCTCCAAGGAATTGTGGAAAAGGTAAAGCAAAATAATTTTACATAAAATAACTTTTAAATTATTTTAAAATTAAGTTGAATTATAATGAAATGTTTAGTTCACCTGTCAGAGCCAAAGGCTTAAAAATGCTTATCTGATCAAAATTAGTCCCCTATGACTTATCTAAACAGCACAACACTTCCGGCTTGGCAACTGCTATATAATACAAGAGATCTCATTGGCAACTGGTACATTTTGCACTAGTGTAGAGAGGATCTTTAGCAAAATAATTTTGCATAAAATAATTTTTCAATCATCTTAAAATTTACCCAAACGTTGTCATCTTACAAATCATTTGTCACAAACTTCAAACAATATAGATTTTCAAATTTGCGCCTAAATAATAATATGGGTTTCTTTTATGTCTTATACAATTGCATGGAAAACTACTGAGAGTACAGTAGCCAATGAGATCTTGTGTATTATATCCCATTTGCCAAACCGGAAGTGCTGAGTTGTTTCGATATGTACTTTTTCTTTTGATTGACAAAGCGTGTAATTTTATGGCCAGTATTACATGTGGGGTTTATGTTGCCAGTTGCCGATAATAACTAAAAAAGGGGTTTGAATTGGTGATCACAGTTTTGGTTTAAGAAAGATGGATTCTTTGTGTTATTATATAATAGAAAACTAAGCTTTCTGTACCAAACCAGCACCTGTTAGAAATATATAGGAAAATTCTTTAAAAATTTTCTTCTCGAGATTAGCAAAGCCATAATTCATCATATTTAAATGGAAGCATGCTTAGGTGGTGTAGATTCAAATTTGTTCAAATCATGATTCCTGGGGGAAGGGAGGGGGGCAAAATGACCAACCAAACTTTTACTCAGAAATACACAGGAAAATTCTTAAAACATCTTCTTCACAAGAATGACAAAGCCATAATTCATAATAATTATATGGAAGCATGCTCAGGTAGTGTAGATTCAAGTTTGTTCAAATCATGATCCTCGTGGGTGATGGGGGGGGGGCCAAAATGGCCGACCAAAATTTTACAGAGAGATATATAGGAATATTCTTTAAAAATCATTTTCTTAAGAATAGCAAACCCATTATTGGTCATGGGACTACCTTTGGATTTAAACTTTACAGTAATAAACCAATTTCTACTTTATCATAGACTTACTGCTCAGGTGAGCAATGTGGCCCATGGACCTCTTGTTTCTAACTTCAGCTGCTAATGCATTCAGGTGAGCAATGTGGCCCATATGCCAGTTGTTTCACAATGTGAAGATAAGTTTTAATTACAAATTTTTTTCTCCTTTTTACAGTCGACGAGAATCATTGAGACCCCACAGTCATCTCGAAAGATTTATACAATAGCTGATACTTCGGGTAACATTGATGTCAAATTCTGGGGGGACAAGACGTCCCTTGGTCCCTTTCAGGATGGCACCAATATTAAGATAACAGCATTAAAAGTTGATCAATACGGAGGACGATGTTCTCTGAATTCCACACCCTCCACAGCTGTTCAGGTATTTAATTTATAAATTATTAACAATAAGTGGCAGATACATTAATTAATTTTCTTCATTAATCATTCTGTATTCATTTATCATAAACCTAAAATAAAAATGAGTTTGTTTGCACTTGCGTACAGACCCACTGAAAATGGACCCGAACCAAACTTTTATTTTAGCCTTTTTAGATAGCATCAAGATAGCTACGAAATTACCCGGTCACAGAGTATCAAGTTTTGACATTATAAACACCTTAGATAATTCAATTCAGGAGATCACTCTCAATGACTTTTGATAACTGAAAAAAAAACCCATGAAATTTTTTTCATCCTGAAATCCTGCCTTGCCAATGACCTTAAATGGCATGGAAATACATTTAAATTCAACACATCGATGCTCACGTGTCTCTTGCATTGCTAATTTGATAAAATCCTTTATTAATTCTTACTGACATTTTCAGCAGGCTTGTTACTCTGAAAATGACTCTACAGGAGACAATTTGTTGCATTTTATTTCCTTCTTCTAAATATAATTTCATAATGATAATTTTTTATTATATTAATGACACAGTAACAAGAACATACTTCCTGCAGTCAACAAGTATGCTCCTGTCCTACAATTTCATAACATAAATTGAGTATGCTCTCAGTTATTCCTAATTTGTGATTCTAATTTTCTTCATAAAAATGTGAGGTCAGGAATTGATCTAAAAAAAAAGAGTAGGTTAGTAGCTGTAAACACATATATTTTCAATCGTGTTCAATTGTATTTCTCATATCTGTTTTAAAAAACTTTTCACAGATCAATGAAGACTACGATAGTTTGCAAGGGGATGTACAATATTTCATTTATTTTACTAATGTGTCAATTCAGTTTCAGATGGTACATATATAAATTTCAGATATATTGCAGAAAATTCTTACAATATATGCCATTCCTAGTAAGAAATATTTCTAAAATCAACAGTTTAAGAAGTAGTACATTTCTATTATGGATTTAGATTGATTGATTGTATGTTGTTTAACGTCCCTCTCGAGAATTTTTCACTCATATGGAGACGCCACCACTTGCCGGTGGAGGGCTACAAATTTTGTCCTATGCTCAGGCCTTTGAGCAGTGAGGGATCTTTTTCGTGCCAGCACCTACTGCGACACGGTTTATATGGTCTCATCCGAAGGACCAGTCTCAACGTCCCACAGTGGGATTCGAACCCACGACGTAAGGATAAGGGAATGGGGCCCATATTCGGCCCTACACAGGGCAGTGGAAAATCCCTGCGGCGGCCCAGTGTAATGTAGAATAAAACATGTACCATATGGAACCATCCTAGTGAAATGTTAATTCAAAGTTTGTTCAAATCATGACCCCAGGGGTAGAATTTGGGCCACAATGAGATCACATTTTAACAAATGAATACATTACAAGTACCATGAACCATCCTGGTCTAGTGTAGATTCAAAGTTCATCAAATCATAATCCCTAGGGGTAGGGTTTGAACCACAATGGGTTGTCAAATTTTAACAAATGAATACATTGGAAATACCGTTACAATCTTCTTCTCAGGAACCAACGAACCAGGAAAAATAAAACTTGTGTACAAGCATCTTAGCATAAAGAAAATTCAAAATTGTTCAAAATATAGATTTCAGTTTGTGCAAATCCTCACCCCCTCCTTCCTTGAATCCACTTTCTAAGTAGCTAATGCTCAGGAGAGTAATGCAATTCTATCTTTTTTATTTTTAGAGATAATATGTCCATCATGCTTAACAACCAGATTTACAACATAAGTGCAACGCTGATGAAACATATCTTTCCCAACCAGAAATTCTGCCCAGGAAAAAACCTAACAGCCATAACTTCCTGTAATGAAATCACAGACGTGTAAGTATTTTGATGTATAGTTAATTCTCAATTCTGTAAAATGCAAAACACAGATATATATTTGTATAGGTTTAACCTTTTCTCATTATCAACAAGAATTTCCTAAGATATCTAAAATTTATTTCAGGGTGGAGATAGACGATGGTCACGAAGAATAAACAGTTATATACGGTACTGAAATGGAAAACCGCTGTCAAAATTTCAAATTGTACTGTTTAGTTTAAGATTTTTGAATTCCTAGATTGTTGCAATACATGTGTATGTTTCACATGTACCTGAAATTTGAATAATTATACTTGTGTTGTTATTTAAACATCCAGCAACACTGATATATGTTCCTTCATTTCTCCATTTTGATTTTTTTTTTTATACGGTACTGAAATGGAAAACCGCTGTCAAAATTTCACATTGTACTGTTTAGTTTATACAACAAGATTTTTGAATTCCTAGATTGTTGCAATACATGTGTATGTTTCACATGTACCTGAAATTTGAATAATTATACTTGTGTTGTTATTTAAACATCCAGCAACACTGATATATGTTCCTTCATTTCTCCATTTTGATTTTTTTTATACAGTACTGAAATGGAAAATTCTCCATTTTGATTTTTTTTTATACGGTACTGAAATGGAAAACCGCTGTCAAAATTTCAAATGGTACTGTTTAGTTTATACAACAAGATTTTTGAATTCCTAGATTGTTGCAATACATGTGTATGTTTCACATGTACCTGAAATTTGAATAATTATACTTGTGTTGTTATTTAAACATCCAGCAACACTGATATATGTTCCTTCATTTCTCCATTTTGATTTTTTTTTATACGGTACTGAAATGGAAAACTGCTGTCAAAATTTCAAATTGTACTGTTTAGTTTATACAACAAGATTTTTGAATTCCTAGATTGTTGCAATACATGTGTATGTTTCACATGTACCTGAAATTTGAGTAATTATACTTGTTATTTAAACATCCAGCAACACTGATATATGTTCCTTCATTTTTCCATTTTGATTTTTTTTTATACGGTACTGAAATGGAGAACCGCTGTCAAAATTTCAAATTGTACTGTTTAGTTTATACAACAAGATTTTTGAATTCCTAGATTGTTGCAATACATGTGTATGTTTCACATGTACCTGACATTTGAATAATTATACTTGTGTTGTTATTTAAACATCCAGCAACACTAATATATGTTCCTTCATTTCTCCATTTTGATGTTTTTTTATACGGTACTGAAATGGAAAACCGCTGTCAAAATTTCAAATTGTACTGTTTAGTTTATACAACAAGATTTTTGAATTCCTAGATTGTTGCAATACATGTGTATGTTTCACATGTACCTGAAATTTGAATAATTATACTTGTGTTGTTATTTAAACATCCAGCAACACTGATATATGTTCCTTCATTTCTCCATTTTGATTTTAGTCTACTGTTGTAGAACACCAAATTGTATGACCATTTATTTTTAACATCATGCGCAAGTAACTGTATTAATTAAATACCATACTTGTTTGTTCATGACTAATCATTGTATCTTCCATAACTCTGTTGTTTATAAATAAGCATTCATTGAGTGCATTTTTCCATTTTAATACACATGTAAATGCATGTTTATCCTCATTTTCATAACTATTATTCATCACAGAAATGATTTGCAAATATGTACAAGTATAACAACCTATTGTTTTTTGAATATTAAAATGAAACATTTTGTATTTCTCATGCAATGAATCAAGTTAAAAACCCTCTCTACACTAAATCTATGATATATTTATACACTCAGAATAATGTCACCTTGAATCTTTTCTGATTTCTTTCTGGTAAAAAACAAAACAGGCAACCAGTACATGTAACAGGGGACCTCCAACCCCAACAACCTTTAAACACTTCTCTAATTCTCCCCTTTGCTTTTGACACCCTTAATGTTGAAAGCAATACACACAGTTAAGCTTGGTATTTACATCTTTTCACAATTTCAAATTTCCTTCCACATCCAAAATTTCTTTATAGTGCATAAAGGGTTTTTAATTTTGATAGTTATTGAGTCAATGAATCATGTTGTTTATATTTTGAGTGAATTTTGTGAAGAAACTCGGCATCATGCAAATTTCACTATTTCATCATTAGTTTAACCTTTGTCTTCATTAAACATTTAAACTTTTTTATGGTAACATTTTCTATTAAATAAAGAGAAAGAGATAGTTTTCAATTTCAGCAACAGTTGAGTCATGATAACTCATTTATTAAAGGTTTATAAAAGCCAGTTTTTTGTTGCTCACAACAAGTATCGTTTTTTAGCTCACCTCAGCTGAAAGCTCAAGTGAGCTTTTCTGATAACATTTTGTCCGGCATCTGTTTGTCTGTAAATTTATCACATTTTGGACTTCTTCTCAAGAACCGCTGGGCCAATTGCAACCAAACTTGCCACAGAGTATCCTTGGGTGAAGGGGATTCGTTCAAATGAAGGGCCATGCCCTCATTCAAAGGGAGATAATTGAGAATTAATGAAAATTTGGTGGCATATTTTAAAAATCTTCTTCTCAAGAACCTCAGTGCCAGGAAAGATGAAACTTATAGGGAAACATCCTCAGGTAGTGTAGACTCAAGTTTGGTCAAATCTTGACCCCGGGGGGTAGGGCAGTCCCAAAATGGCCAACCAAAGTTTCACATAGAAATATATAGGAAAATTCTTTAAAAATTTTCTTCTCGAGATTAGCAAAGCCATAATTCATCATATTTAAATGGAAGCATGCTTAGGTGGTGTAGATTCAAATTTGTTCAAATCATGATTCCTGGGGGAAGGGAGGGGGGCAAAATGACCAACCAAACTTTTACTCAGAAATACACAGGAAAATTCTTAAAACATCTTCTTCACAAGAATGACAAAGCCATAATTCATAATAATTATATGGAAGCATGCTCAGGTAGTGTAGATTCAAGTTTGTTCAAATCATGATCCTCGTGGGTGATGGGGGGGGGGGCAAAATGGCCGACCACAATTTTACAGAGAGATATAGAGGAATATTCTTTAAAAATAATTTTCTTAAGAATAGCAAAGTAACCCATTATTGGTCATGGGACTACCTTTGGATTTAAACTTTACAGTAATAAACCAATTTCTACTTTATCATAGACTTACTGCTCAGGTGAGCAATGTGGCCCATGGACCTCTTGTTTCTAACTTCAGCTGCTAATGCATTCAGGTGAGCAATGTGGCCCATATGCCAGTTGTTTCACAATGTGAAGATAAGTTTTAATTACAAATTTTTTTCTCCTTTTTACAGTCGACGAGAATCATTGAGACCCCACAGTCATCTCGAAAGATTTATACAATAGCTGATACTTCGGGTAACATTGATGTCAAATTCTGGGGGGACAAGACGTCCCTTGGTCCCTTTCAGGATGGCACCAATATTAAGATAACAGCATTAAAAGTTGATCAATACGGAGGACGATGTTCTCTGAATTCCACACCCTCCACAGCTGTTCAGGTATTTAATTTATAAATTATTAACAATAAGTGGCAGATACATTAATTAATTTTCTTCATTAATCATTCTGTATTCATTTATCATAAACCTAAAATAAAAATGAGTTTGTTTGCACTTGCGTACAGACCCACTGAAAATGGACCCGAACCAAACTTTTATTTTAGCCTTTTTAGATAGCATCAAGATAGCTACGAAATTACCCGGTCACAGAGTATCAAGTTTTGACATTATAAACACCTTAGATAATTCAATTCAGGAGATCACTCTCAATGACTTTTGATAACTGAAAAAAAAACCTATGAAATTTTTTTCATCCTGAAATCCTGCCTTGCCAATGACCTTAAATGGCATGGAAATACAACATTTAAATTCAACACATCGATGCTCACGTGTCTCTTGCATTGCTAATTTGATAAAATCCTTTATTAATTCTTACTGACATTTTCAGCAGGCTTGTTACTCTGAAAATGACTCTACAGGAGACAATTTGTTGCATTTTATTTCCTTCTTCTAAATATAATTTCATAATGATAATTTTTTATTATATTAATGACACAGTAACAAGAACATACTTCCTGCAGTCAACAAGTATGCTCCTGTCCTACAATTTCATAACATAAATTGA